GCATTTGAGTTGGATTTAAGTGCACAAGCATCTTGTTACCAGCAAGATGCTGGATAAAAGTCGAACAGCTTTTAAGTCAGCTTTCAGTAAGCGGTAGTGCGTAGTTTCGGTGCGAGAACCCTTGTCTGTGGGACAACTATCCGTATGGTGCTGCTTGCTGACGACTGTGCGTTGCTTGCACACAGCGCGGATGGGTAGCAACACATGACTCGTGCTCTTGCTTCGACAGCGGCCACGTTTGAACTCAACATAAACACAAACAAAATTGTCTGCCTTCTTCAGCCCCTACCGGAGGTGCACTCTGCGATGATTCCGAGGATCAGCATTGTTGGTAATATAGTATAAACCACCTCCCGTTTCTGCTATCTGGATATTGTGATGCCGTCAGACCATCAGGTACACAGTGAGCTTCGTATCCTTATCTCTAAGGTAGCGGCGGCATGCGGAAAGTTAGAGTACGGAGTATGCAACAACCATCAGCTTACCGTTAAAGCGAAACAAGTGGTGTACAAATCCATGATGCTGTCCGTTTTTCTATACGGCAACAAAGCGTGGAAGATGTATCGGCGAGATATGAGATATGCCGAGCAGTTTCATTAACAGTGTTTGAAACGGACACTGCGCAATGGTTGTTGCGACAGAGTTTTGGACACGGAAGTGTTGGGCCGAAGTGGAATGTGTGCAGTGGACTGCACAATTTGCTGCGACACCCCAGGTGACTCGGTCATGTGTGGCTTATGGATTCGATGCGGAAATCGGAACACCTGTGGTCAGTTGGTTATTTGGAAGTGGCATATGGGAAACCGAGGCTCCTGTATTAAAGACATGATCAAAGTGAGCCACTCACGTTCTAATCATGGTTGCTGGCCATGGGAACCTAAAGCGGTTGATCGATGTGCACAGCGGAATCTACTCACGAAACCCGTTGCCGAGGTGCAAGCAAAAGTCCTCATGCATGTGGGGAAGAAACGACAAGTGCGGAAGCGGCGAAAGCCGATGGGTTGTGCTCCATCGACATCAAGCGCCTGGTGCTGTAGCACATGCGCTCGCAAGTGCCTCAGTCAGGCAGGCCTAGTGAGCTACGAGCGTGGCCACTTGGGGCAACAACGAAACGAGGACTTTCCTGCAGGGAAGCTAGGTAGAATCGGTGCAGCGTCTGTAGGTACACTGCATCCAGTTTGCTAACCGCTTGCTTGTATACAGGGTGTCTTTTTCAAATGGTCGGTTTGCTATATTGTCACAACGTCTCAATGAACCACCTATGAACTAGCACACATCGCTTAAGTTACTTGTAGTTAACGTTGATAACATTTTTGCGTTTGTGAGATTTCCTTACGATCTATTTTCTGGCGTCTTGAATCTAAGGCGGAAATTTTGGCAACCAATTTAATTTATATGCTTGTATATAGTAGTGTTGTCACCGTACCTGTACGTACTATAAGATTTATTTTATTCGCCGTCGGCATCTCAAGTGCTTGGCTGTTGTTTCATATCCTCAAAGTGGCTGCGCTTGTTGTGCGCTTTGATGAGGTGTCTATAAGTCTGTTACCTACTACCTCGACCAAACTGGCTCAGGGAAGCAGTTGGTCATTAATGATGGGAACGGTGTGCACCATCATTTTGGCCGTGTTAGGCTCCAAGATCGGTTCTGTGTACTTAATTGGGAGTGAGCTACGTTCGAGCGACCGCCTTGTGTGCGCACGATTCCCAAACACAGCGTACTTGTGTTTGTCTGTGAGGGAGTGTTGGCCGGCTCCGTTGATGAAACGTGACTCCTATCCACAGGCCACCCGGTCTTATTCATTCGGATATACACTGTATATAGGGTGTGTGTTTAGAGCTCTGGGTGGTGCGGCGCATGCCAACCACAGTCCGTCCGTAGCCGCAGTCATTCTGTGGCTGGCGACAGTGACAGACAAATACGAAACCGGATGCCGCCAACGCTGGTGTCAACGCATGACGTTGCTCTCTACCGTGCGCCAATTGTGGATTAGTGGCGCAGGTAAACAATTTCGCAGTCGCGAGAATGCGGCCCACGCACCCGTCATCGACAAAACAGGCCGTCTGTTTTACTTCACGGATAGATGCTCCCGCGTCACTCACTTTATCTACACAGGTGCAGAACTGAGCACCATCCCCGCCAGCAAGCATGACAAGCGTTTGAAGCCCAAGCACAATCAACTGGCAGCCATCGGCTTGCCGATATTTCTATAGGATCGGTGTATGGTGAACCTAGGTTTAAATCGCCGCAGAGATTTTACTGGATTTTCGCGGATGTTTAGACCTATCACAATAAGCAGCATCAGTGTTTTTCAGTAATTCGGCTTGCTCTGTTGGCGGGTTGCCATAGCATTTTCGGTGAGCAGACAAAACTCCGTATCGATGGTGTCCATAAAGATTAATCGAAAATCGGCTCTGTTATACGGATTGCAGACCATCGTCATACTACTTTGTCCCCTTCTTCTAATACACGGGATTAATTCGTCCGGTTGCAAAGCTTCGCCCAGACACTACCGTGGAGGCTCACCACATTATCAAGCGCGGTCAAACAGCTAGCACAGAACCAAGGTGGCTTGCTCTGGACAAATTACGTGCAACGTGAGGTGCATTGGACCAAATCTATTATCTAGGTATCGTCCGACCCTCCAGCATCCCAAAATACTCTCTTTTCTACGTATTTTCGAAAAAGTTCTGGAAGTCTGATGTCCTTGCAGCGACTATCAAACCTTGTCGACGGTTACCGCTCTCTTCGCTATTTAAACCCACACACCGTAGGTCTCGCCGCAATCTAAGAGCTCCAAATATCTTTACCAAAACTGACCTTAAACTCGCTTACAATCAAAGATCCGTAGTAAAAGTGGACATCGCTGAAACAACCGTGACGTCTCCATTTGATTCTGAAAAATGCTGTGCGAAATATCAGCGCACTGTTGTCGCAAAGTGAATGTTGCTTAGGCTTATCCTGACATCATAATCGTGAACTCCTCATACGAACAGCACCTGCTCCCAGTTCGAAAATGTTTCTATCGTTAATCTCAAAACGTGGTGACTAGCAACACAGTAATGTGTTTGCATAGTGTTGTATCAGTAAATATCCAGGGCAGCAGTATATCCCTCTCAGACATACTGTTACTGCAGTAAGAAGTGCAGGCCATCAAGGACTCCCGATCTTCATTCTTTTAAACAGCTTCGGCAATTTTGAGAATTGCAAGCTTTACTGGCGGTTCAAATCATACTGCGCGTCGCTGATGCAACTACTGACGAACGTTCGAGGGTAATTCAAGAAAGTCGAATTTTCTGCCTCAGCTAGCGCTAATTTTAAGTCGCCGAATTTGATTGTGGCGAAAGTGGCATTTATATTTCCTCGCAACACGGCACCACACGTTGCATCAGTGCGGACTAGACGGACGTGGCCATAGCTGTTATTTTTTAACTCTGAGTAGAATACGTGTGGTAGCCATTAACGCTGTTTTCTAAAACCCTAAAACCCGCGAAGACACTCTATTGCACGCTGGTTTGAAAAACACTTACCGTATAAATAGCGATACGTCACTTTCAAAAGTATTAGATGACCACACGTTCGTTGTTTTCACTGTAACTCAGCAACTACAGGACTTCCTCTGCTCAACAACCAACCAATATTACCATAGGGAATCCGGCCACTTAGATTATGACTCAGTTTACGAACAATACATGATGTCTCCGGTGTACGCAACGACGGAGATTATGCTGGGTCCGACAACGACGCCAATGCTCTGCGACCAATGTAGCACCCCTAATAATAAGCCCTCAAGACATGTGCAGCAAGTATATGAAGCTTCCCTAGAACCCATATGGATGCAAGTATCATGGAACCCAATTAGCATAAGTGAGGGCCGTTCATTTAGCCACCCGGCGCCGATAACAAAACTGTCGCTGTAGGCCATAATTAGGCTTCCCTGTGGATCATACGTAGGATTTCTAAGCGTCGTTTCTTCACTATCGTAAAATCAAAAATATCTACCCGTTTAATGATCTTTATGACACTGCTGCTATAGAATCCATAATACTTATCCATGCGTCGCTCGTGCAACCAATCGCGGCCAACCCTGGAGGGCGGTTCAGTGAACAAACCAATGCCACCTGCGAGGCCATCATATGGCCTTACTATGTACTCGTCAGGTTCGCAGGAACATAAACCTACCTATAGACTTTCGTACATATATGTGCGCTACTTGTATGAAAACATCACAAAAAAGTTCATTGATTTTTTCATTCTTCGTTTTGCCATCCTATTAGTCCTTATGCTTCCTATAACTTCCGCATATATTGGGTGTGATAAATCTCCCTTAGTAATATTTATAAAACGGTATTAGCTTGTTAATGAAATGCGTAACCTACTTGCTTTGCTCCTGACACCTTGATATGCACCATTCAGGATACCGGTTAAACTCCATGAAAACTGACTGCCACATACTTAATTATTTACTCATTTACGTACGGCTAAGGTTAATTATATCTCTGCAATGAAAAGAATGTATACGTTTGTCCACTGACGTCCAGTTGCGGGGATTTGCGTTGGGTAATCATAGCGGGGACTAATAACGTGCGGTCTCCTTAAATGGCACAGAACTGATGATCAGTGTTACTGCAACAAGCGTACAAATGTCTTTCTACATAAAGATATAAGCATGGATAGATTGAAGCAGCAATATCATTTCTAACCACGTTAAAGTTGCATAATTAGGAATGTATATACTTGTACTTAAATATATGCATTAGCTTTCAGACAGCAATATGTATACATAAATGTACGCCTTATTAACCTATATCGATATATATATATATATATGGGATTGTGGTTAATAATGCGTACGTTAAAGTATAAATAATGCGGTCTGGAAGTGAATGCATATATTAAATTACAAATATATGCATTCTAATTTTGCAATTTAAATATATATATATATATATATGTAGCGATTGTAAATAATTTGCTTATTTTGCATTTTCACGTTTACCTATTTCGCTGCAGTTGTTGTACAGCTTTGTTTTAATTAACTATATATACACACACTTGGTTACGCGCTCGCCTTCCGTGGTTCTTCCTTGGTTGCCGCTGGATTGTTGTGATTGTGCGCATCGCTGCCTGCTTGGTTCACGATCGGACTCTACGTACACGTACATTTCGGCATACCTCGGGATTTACGGCCGTCCGACGCTAAGGTGCATCAGGATACTTTATATGTGAGGTAAACCTGACTGACTTGGTATTCTCCTTTACCGGTTCCTCCATATAATTGGTGACCCCGCATTTTTATTCAACATTTTGTGTATATTTTTCTTTTTTTAACTTACAATGTCTGATCACGCGCCTGCCATTAATGCGTCGGAACATTCTCTTGGACTCGTTTTGCCTTCATTTGACGCTTCTAACCCACGTGTTTGGTTTGTTCAAGTGGAAGCCGTTTTCCGTTTTCGTAAGATTACATCCCAGTCCACTATGTTTTCATATGTGACTGCTCACTTACCGTCCAACATCGCCTCTGAGGTCATCGACATTCTTGACCCTATGCCCCTAGAGTCCCCTTATGATAAACTTAAGGCAGCTATATTAAAGCGCACTACAGCCTCAGACGAATCACGCCTTCAGCAGTTACTCTCTGGTGTAGAACTTGGAGATAGAACGCCATCTCAGTTACTCCGACACATGCGTTCCCTCGTCGGTTCTTCCGCACTGGATGATTCCGTTCTCCGCCAGTTGTGGAGTAATTGTCTTCCTGCGAATACCACGGCTATTTTAGCTGTGCTTGCCGACGATCTTCCGCTAGACAAACTGGCAGAAGCTGCCGATAAGGTTCACGAACGCTTCATTAGAACGTCGGTATCACACGTCACAGAGACTAGCTCAGGCAGCCCCTCCAGAACCACGCTACTTGATACAATCAGCGAGAGGCTTTCTAACTTAGAGCTCACCTTGTCCCATCTCAGACGCGACCGCGTTCCTTCGCGACGATCCGTTTCTCGATCCAGACGGTCTAGCAGCTCTCGTACACGGAAGTCTCACCGTTATTGTTATTATCACCACCGCTTCGGAGACGCAGCGCGTAAGTGCCGTCCAGGGTGTAAACACCCCAAAGCCTTTTCAACTCCTACGTCGGGAAACCACATGGCCAGCCAGTAATGGCGGCGGCTGTCGCTGGCCAAGTTATTAGTCGCCTGTTGTATGTATTTGACTCCACAACCAAACTTCACTTCTTGGTTGATACTGGTGCAGAAGTCAGCGTTCTCCCCCGTTCTCTGGAAAAACGCCCCCTGCAACCAGCGGGTCCAATGCTTACGGCAGCTAATCAGACTAAAATCGCGACCTACGGCCAGAAATTACTTACTTTGAGTCTCGGATTACGGCGTAACTTCCCTTTCCTTTTTACCATCGCCGATGTGCAAAAGCCCATTATCGGAATCGACTTCCTCAGCAAGTTCGGTCTTGTGGTCGACCTACGTTGTGGGAAATTGCGAGACGATACTACGTCTTTAAGCACACCCTGCAAACTTGCCTCAGTCAATTCTCTCGGGCTTCGCATCCTCATCCCTGACGACTCACAGTATTCTTCATTGCTCCGACAATTTCCGTCCCTAATTCGAGCAAGTAACGACACTTCCGATCCTAAACACGATGTACGCCATCACATCGTTACAACCGGTCCGCCTGTAACTGCTAAAGCTCGACGCTTGCGTCCTGACAAACTCCAGGCAGCTAAAAAGGAATTCCAACACATGCTTGATCTCGGCATTATTCGTCCTTCAAACAGCTGCTGGGCATCACCTCTCCATCTGGTGTCTAAAAAGTCAGGCGATTGGCGACCATGCGGTGACTATCGTGCTCTTAACAACGTCACTGTTCCGGATAGGTATCCTATCCCACATATCCACGATTTCTCCCTTGGACTAGCTGGAAAGTCAATCTTTACCAAACTCGATCTTGTCAGAGCTTACCATCAAATTCCAATGGCGGAGGAAGACATCGCAAAAACTGCCGTGATCACTCCATTCGGCCTTTACGAATTTCTTCGTATGCCTTTCGGCCTCCGGAACGCAGCACAGTCTTTCCAACGCTTTATGGATCAGGTCCTCCGTGGCCTTGATTTCGTCTACGTTTACATTGACGATGTCCTGATCGCAAGCGCCACACCCGACGAGCATTTATCACACCTGCGAATGGTTTTCGAACGCTTTGAAAACCACGGGATAAACATCAACCCGGATAAATGCAAATTTGGTCAGCCAACCGTCGAATTTCTCGGTCACAAGATCGATGGTGAAGGTATTAAACCCCTTCCGGAGAAATCTCAAGCAATCCTCGACTACCCGATGCCACAATCTGTCCGAAGCCTTCGCCGATTCCTCGGTATGATCAACTACTACGGCAGATTTATTCCCAACTGTGCTGATTTGCTTCACCCGCTTACCGACTTATTGAAAGGAAACTCAAAGACGTTTACGATAACCCCAGAAGTTGAAGCCGCTTTCACGGCCGTCAAGCAGAAGTTCAGTGAGGTCACCTCTCTCCATCACTTGAACACCACGGAGGACGCTACACTTGTCCTTAAGACGGATGCTTCAAGTTCTGCTGTCGGTGCAGTTTTGCAACAGTTAGTTGATAACGAATTTCAACCACTGTCTTTTTTCTCACGGAAGCTTCAACCTGCTCAGGTCAGGTACAGCACCTTTGGTCGTGAACTGCTCGCCATGTACTTGGCTGTGAAACATTTCCGTCACCTTTTAGAAGGACGTCGTTTCATTCTCTTGACAGATCACAAGCCACTGGTGTATGCCTTCCGTTCTTCCTCAGACCGTTACTCACCCCGAGAAACGCGTCATCTGGACTATCTTTCACAGTTTTGTGTTGATGTTCGTTATATCGACGGTCCTAACAACGTTGTTGCCGATGCATTGTCCCGCGCTCATGTGAATCAACTGTCATCGACGCCCATCGACTTGGAGAGAATAGCGGCCGCCCAAAACGATGATCCTGAGCTCGTTCAACTTCGTTCAAACTCCTCATTGAAAGTCACCCAACTGCCCGTACTTAACTCTGACATAAGAGTTTACTGTGATCTTTCAACCGGTAAGCCTAGACCTTTTGTCCCACAATCATTTCGCCGAACCATTTTTGATCATTTTCACGGTTTTTCACACCCAAGTATCCGCTCCACCGTAAAACTCATTACCGACCGCTTCCTCTGGCCCAATATGCGTTCAGACATTAGACAGTGGGCTAAACATTGCCTTAGTTGCCAAACTAGTAAAGTGCATCGTCACACAATCACCACCCCAGGTACATTTTCACTCCCTGACGCTCGTTTTAGACATGTGCACATAGATATTGTTGGCCCTTTACCTCCTTCCAACGGTTTCACTCATCTTCTAACATGTGTTGACCGTTTTACCCGTTGGCCACAAGCTGTTCCCTTACGTGATACCTCTACCGAATCTGTATCCCGTGCTTTTGTTGAATCTTGGATTTCGCTGTTTGGTGTTCCATCCACCATCACTACCGACAGAGGGGCTCAGTTCAGTTCCACACTGTTCCGCGATCTGAGTCGTTTATTAGGCTGTACTCACATGAGAACAACCGCGTACCACCCCGCTGCCAATGGCCTCGTCGAGCGTTTTCATCGACAATTAAAAGCTGCCATCATGGCTACTTCGTCCGACTCACGCTGGTCTGAGCGTCTACCTGCGATCCTCCTTGGTATACGCAATACAATCAAAGAGGACATTGGGTGCTGCCCTGCAGAACTCGTGTTCGGGACGACCCTCAGACTACCTGGGGAGATGGTACTGGACTCTCGCACCACCGGCGAACTAGACCCCTTCTCGTACGCTGAACGCCTCAAACAGCATTTTCGATCCATTCGACCAACGTCTACGCGGCCTAACCTATGTAAACAACAAGTCCACCCCGATTTACACAAGTGTCCGTTTGTTTTCATCCGCGTCGACGCCGTCCGAAGACCTTTAACTCCGCCCTACGACGGCCCGTACCAGGTCTTGTCACGGAAACCCAAGTATTTCGTATTGAATAAGAATGGATCAAAAGAATCCGTGAGCATCGACCGACTCAAGCCAGCTTACGTCGAAACTACAGTCGATAGTAAAGACCCCGTTTCCTCCCCTCAGCATACCCCCGCCCCCGCCCCTGACTCATTACCCCCTACCCAACGACACACTGACGCTAGTACATTGAGTCCTCCGTGCCCTACGACTACACGCAGCTCCAAACACACACGTTCTGGTCGTGTTGTTTCTTTTCCACATAAGCTTGCTCAATACGTTCCGTAGGCACTTGTCGAGCGTTTTCTTAGTGCACGCTCTAGGGGGGGAGTACTGTAGCGATTGTAAATAATTTGCTTATTTTGCATTTTCACGTTTACCTATTTCGCTGCAGTTGTTGTACAGCTTTGTTTTAATTAACTTTTTATACACACACTTGGTTACGCGCTCGCCTTCCGTGGTTCTTCCTTGGTTGCCGCTGGATTGTTGTGATTGTGCGCATCGCTGCCTGCTTGGTTCACGATCGGACTCTACGTACACGTACATTTCGGCATACCTCGGGATTTACGGCCGTCCGACGCTAAGGTGCATCAGGATACTTTATATGTGAGGTAAACCTGACTGACTTGGTATTCTCCTTTACCGGTTCCTCCATATATATATAGAAGGTTTCATCAACCATTTATGTACCCTATGAAAGCTCATTCCGCAGTTGTGAGCATTTACCCATCACCTATGGACCAGGGACTGACACGCATTTTCACTTCTCCTTCACTTTAGATCACTTAACTTACTTCTCTCCAGGCATTAATATATGCACATAACGCTTTCTCTTTACTTTTCCTTTATAAATACGCATTCCCTAACAAGTCCCATATGTAAATAGGTATGCGCATATCGCATGGTTATTTGCCTATTTATGCCACATCCTTTAACACCATTATTTACATATTATTCTCACAGCCATTTCCGTTCTTGTCCAAATATTTCTCGAGGTACGCTAACCATTCTGCTTAATCGTTTCCCAAAAAAGTAATCACATAGGAGCATGTGAGGTAAGCAAACTATTCATTTTCCCTTCAATTTAAGTGTATCACACTTCATATACTCCCTAAAAGTAGGTATTTTTCATTATCTGACTAGCCCAGTGCACTATTTACTCATCCAATAACATAGGTCCAATTTAGACTCATTTATGCAATTAGAAACTCCGGGCATCTGCTATCAAGGTTACAGTAAACTATGGTACCATAAAAGCTAAATAACCCCGATGCCTTTATACATCCGCTACTGGTTTACTTATAGTATTTACAACTTATTTAACTACACCTCAGTATCCTACGCTACCATTATACTCCCGGCTGTGCCGGTTGAACTTGGCCCGCCAACCCGTTCCCGTCAGATGTGAGAGTCCTGGTCCCCTTTAAACACGAGAGCGTCGGATTAATCGAAAACAGCTGATCATATTTTGGGGGCGGTACTGTTTGCTGTACTGGCTGATGGGGATGAATGATATGAAGTACGTTGTTAAGGCCTGATAAGGGTTTAATAAAGGTATATTGATTTAGGGGAACTGAAAATGGTGGTGCATTATTTTACGATGTATGTGATGGTGTTTGTTTTAGTGCGCAGGTGTTGTTTCGGTTTCGCTGCAATGGCTGTGGATGATACTCTTGCTTTCCGCGCTGCTTTTCGCCAATATTATAAGGCATTTGGTGAATTCGAGGAAGATTTGAAGCGGTTTCAACTTCAGACGGCGACCAGTTTTTACAAATATGACGTTTTGACCGCTGCGTCGTATAAGAAGAGGTCCGGTCAAGAGCTACCCGATGGGATGCGGTACAAATGGGTACAATATCGTTGTGTCCATTGCACCCGGAAAGGAGACGGTGGCAGTCGGTAAGTGCGAAAGTTTTTTATGCGTAATTCATGTTTCATAGGTATGTCAGCCTCGGTTGTAAAGCGAGCATATCCATCAGTGCTAAGGGCATTTACTATGAGATAGGCTCGCATTGTCTGGTGCATAATCATAATTTTCACTTGGGGAATCCAAGTTTGTACGTGGGTAACCGGCGTCTGACTCCCGAGGCGGAGCGGCAAGTGTTTGATTTAATGCAGTCCTTCCGTAATACCGGAGAATTGCGAGACTATGTCCTGGAAAGATATAACAAACGACTGAATCGACAGGACCTATTTTCCATCCGCCATCGCTTAGGTGGGGTATCTAAGGGGAATGATGTAAACGCGGTAGCGGAATTGTTGAGTAAGAACGGCGCTGTGCGTGTCGAAAGAGATGGGTCACAAGTGCGATTCGTATTTTTCGTTCCTGCTTCAATGACTTCCATAGCGGCGAAATACGGCGACGTACTTCTTGCGGATGCGACGCATCAGGTGAACTGCGGTGGTTATGTTCTTTGGCACTGTATGGTGATTGACGGTTTCGGCGTAGGTCGCAGCGTGTTTTACGCTTTAATGCCCAACGAGACAGCATGCAGTTACCTGGAGGTTGCTCGGGGCATGTCGGAAATGTTGCCCACCACCTTGTCAGCGAAGACTATAGTCATGGATAGGTGCCTGGGTCAAATGAAGGCATTTAAGTCAGTATATGCACGGAGCACTGTAGTATTATGCCGCTTTCATTTCCTGCGGGACGTTTCACGCAGATGCCAGTGTTTGTCAAAAGTGAAGAAGGCGGACAGAGTTCTGCTCAAGCAGTGGATGCACCGATTAGTGTACACGAAGACGGAATTGCAATTTAAGATGCTGCTCAGAGCGATAAGGGTTAGAAGCAAAGAGGCATTCACTTACCTCAGTCGTACGTGGTTGCCCTTCGCAGGAAGCTGGGCGTACCACCGGTTGCGCGATGTGCGTACGTTGGGTGCGTTCACCACCAACAGAGTGGAAAACGAGAATAAGCACCTCAAGTGCGGATTAAGCGAAAGGACATCGCTGTTGCAACTTTTTGAGGCCGTTGTACGTAGAGCACGCGATGCGGAATCACGTTGGACCACGTCACTAGGCAAATTGCGGATGTCGAAATCGCGCACCATTCCGGCAACAGGGCAGGTGCGGGAGTTGGTTTCCTGCCTTTCTACGTATGCTGCTGCCATATTTATGCGGCACATTTCTTCAGAGACGGTCACCTCAATACGGCCGAACGGCACTGGGTATGACGTATTAGGTAAGGGAGACCGAAAGCACACCGTTTTTATGGGTAATGAGATGGTCTGTGATTGCAGTTTCCTTAGGCAATGGGATATGCCATGCGCACACATTGTGCGAGTAGCTGGGATGTTAACCGCAGACGTTACCCCACTTATGCACAGAAGCCGTTGGTCCATGGTGGACCATCAGTTTCCCATCCCTGATGGGGAAACCTTCCGAGCGGAAGTTGAACCGATGCCCTCCACATCTGCCTCCACGCCTTTGTATCCCCATGTCTTTTCATGATCCCTCGCAGCTGTCCTCTGGAAGCGGCAAGAATGGAAGCCGTAAGCAGGTACGTCCAGTATTCATTTCCCATTTCTATTGCCATTGCATGGAATATAGCCCGGACCTCAGTGATCCACTGTGTTGACGCGACAAACCTATACTGTCCTCAACAACAGCGTGAGCACTTTGAATGGGCCTGAACAACACTTCCCTGTGTAACATTCACCTTCATCCCTTATTATATGGACAATGTATTGCTGTTGGAAATGCGGTGGAACCGGCGAAAGCGTTTCTTTGCTAGTGGTCTGCTTAGTGAGTAGTTACTTAACTCCACGGCATGTGTTTGCACGGCTGTTACGCAAGCTGCGGACTGGGCAACATTTAATAATGACCGCGGTCAACGTTATATATGTAGTCCGATAGCACCATTGCCTATGGTAGCATGCCTTTCACTTCGTCAGTGGAGTCGGGAACTCATAATATGTACCGACCGCCAGGTTATTAGAGTAGTCAGTCAATACAGTACAGTCTTTCGTGCGCACAGGAACCTCTCACACTTAAGAGTGGCGAGCTCATGTGAGTAGTCAGTGACATGCATTGCATATGTCAGCATCGCTGTGATATTCTAAGTGCAATCGGGAACATCGATAAATTACTGGCGTCCACTTTATATGAGTTGATAGTTACCTCTATAGCATATCGTAGCATGCCTGGGACGTCTTAAGTGCAGTCCGGATTACGTATTACCAACCCGCCGCAAGCTTATATCATTGACGACTTAGCTCCATCGCACATGGAGGCATTGCTGTCACATTTTCCGTTGAGCCAGCAGCGTACGATACTTAACAGCGGCGAACAAAACTGAGCAGTCCTTTAAGTTGACTGCATATGGTAGCATCGCTGTGACTTCTTATTCAGAACCGGGAACATCCATTGCTTAACGGCGGCCTGCTTATGTATACAGTCCATTAGCTCCATTGCATACGGAAGCATTGCCGTGACACATTCTATCTAGCGGCCGACATCTCATAATTACTGGCGCCCAGTGTATGCGAGCAGTCCGGTAGCTCTATTCCTTATGGAACAACGGTTGACTACAAAATAGTATTACGTGGATACGGAAGCCCCGTGGGAGAAAAATTATTGCGAAAATGAATTGCATGACAACGTGAGAACCGTTTTGGTGGCCTCACCACAGACTTCAGTACAATAGCGGAGACGTTGGAGTAATAAACATACAAATGCACTGTAGGCGTTAAGGATTTGAGGAAACATTGAGGGTTAAGTGGACCAAAGGCTATGCTGTGACACATTCTGTGCAGCTGGCAACATGTAACAATTACGGGCGTTCAGCTCTTATGAGCTGTCATTTACCTCCATTGCCTACGATAGGACGTATTTTATACCTTCAGTGAAGTCGGGAACATCTAGTACTTGCCACCCGCCAGCTTATTAGAGTAGACAATCAGTACCGTCGCATATGGAAGCATTGCTGTGCCATCTTCTGTGCAGCCAGCAACCACTAACACTTACGAGCGGCCCGCTTATGTGATTAGTCAGTGACCTCTTTCGCATATCTTAGCATCGCTGAGACATCCTCAGTAGAGTTGGAATCGTGTAATAATTACCGGCCACCAGCTTATGTTAGCAGCCATTTACCTCCCTTCCATATAAATAAAAAAGTAAATATATTCCCTTTTAACTATTAAGTGTAGTGGCGATGGTGCCATACTTATGGCCCCCAGAGTAACTGAGCAGTCAGTCAGCTCTACTGCATATGTTAGCATCGCTGCGACAACTTCAGTAGAGTTACGATCCTCAGATAATTACCCGCCATCCGGTTACATAAGCATTCCTTTAGCTATATTGCATATAAATAAAAATATATATATTCCCTTTCAAATATTAAGTGCCGTGGCGATGATCTCATACTTACGGCCCGCAGACTATATGAGTAGTCAATCAGCTCTATTGCATATGCTAGCATTGCTGTGACAACTTAACTAGAGTCGAGATCCTCCGATAAATAACCGCCACCAGCTTATGCATCAGCCCTTGCATATACATAAATTCATAAATACATTCCCTTAGAAATATTACGTGCAGTGGTGCCGTTTAGCACTTACAGGCACACAGCTTATATGAGCAGTCAGTCAGATCCATTGCATATGTTAGCATTGCTGTGACACCTTCTGTGAAGTAATAATATATATATATATATATATATGCTGCAATATATAATGCTGCAATGTGCAATAGAGTTAACTGGCAACTGCAATATGCTGATCGCTGTGAAGTATTATTTATGTTATATTATATTATTATTATATATGTTAATATACTATATTATATATATAATATATAATATAATAATACATATAATAATATAATATAATATAATACTTCACAGCGGTCAGCATATCGCAGTTGCCAGTTAACTCTATTGCACATTGCAGCATTACCGTTAGACAGTATATGAAGCAACCAACATATTTCAATTACTGCCTACTAAGATCTTTCAGTAGCTAGTTTTATGTAATGCGTATACTGAAGCACATAGTCGCCTCGTTTTTCATTTGTAGTCCGACGGTAACAATTCCAAAACCCTTTGCAGACATTCAAAAATATTTACAGTCTACCGGTTATTTATCTACCTAATTAATTGTAAAAGCGCCTTTTCCCATAAAATAGACTGTAGCTAAACTCATTCTTTTACCGCATAAAATGCCACTAGGCGTATCTATATATAGACTGATTATCCAACTTTCGCATTCCCCTTGCATAATCACGTCTTTTTTACATAGACGGACGCTACCGCATTAGCACATCATCTTTTACTGTACGCAAATTGCTTGCAAATGTCCTAACCATTGAGTCTGCCATTAACACCCGCTAAACAACGCCGATTACAGCATACACATTTCGTATTGACGCTCATTATGTGCCCTTACATAACTACTCATTAAAACCGAAACTAATGCCACGCCAAAAACAAAAGATAGCATTAATTAAGCATTCCTTTTTCATACCTTGTTCACACTACGCCGTAACTGTTGTTTACCTTTCCATCTTTTGCAGATTGATGTACGCTAGTTCCTCGGCCAGAAACTTAATTTCGCGCGTCATACCGATTCAACCTTCCCCTTTAAACTCATTTATGCACTTGGAAAATCCGCGCACCTGCTACCTAGGATACGGTAAACTATCTAACTATTAAAGCTATGCGACACCGATGCCTTTATAAGTCTGTTACTTGTTTATTTATACCATTTACAAACTCTTTAACTACATATCAATATCCCGCGCTACCATTACACTCCCGGTGTTCCTGTTCATCTTGGCCCACAAACCGGTCACCGCCAGATGAGAGAGTCCTGGTCTCCGAAGTTTACGAACAAAGGTATCCCACGAATCACGTCTGTATCATTGCCACGCTTTCCTTGTTGGCAAGTCATGGCTGTATCCCCAAAGTAGGCGGTTGACGGAGGCGCAGGAAAACAAAGTGCATTCCTTGATGTCGGTTTTCAAAAGTCGGAGGGAAATACGTAAGTACAAATCGATGGCACATAAGCGGACGTAGAACACGGATGATCGGAAGATGCTTAGAAGGCGACACCGGAAGCGGAAAACAGGGGAGGTGGGGGAGGTAACGGAATTGTTGGAGCTGCACGGCGTTTGTCGTGTGGTGAAAGAGAGCAAGGTGGTGCGATTTTTGTTCTTCGTGCGATCGGTCATGGAGACTAATGCGGAACAATACTGCGAAGTGATATTGGCGGCCGCGACTCACCAAGTAAATTATGGGGATATATTTTGTGGCATTGCATACTGGTGTATGCAACAGGTATGGCGTATTCTTTATATGCGTTACTGCCGAATGAGACGTACCGCAGCTACCCGCAAGCTGTGGAAGCGATATAAGAGATGCCACCTTGCGCCGAATCGGTATGTACAGTTGTAATGGATAAATGCATGGCGCAGGTGCGGGCAACGACCTTGGTTTATCCGAACACGTTGGCGGTGTATTGCCGTTTTCACGTGTTGAGGGTTATGTGACGCAGGGTTGTTCGTCTTTTGGAAACGAATTCAGCGGACAGAAGCGTTCTGCGGCACTGGCTGCATAAATTGATCTATACAAGTG